GACTTGTTGCTTTTCAAAATCAAGTAATGCAGTGAAATAGTTCAAATATGCAATTGTGATTTAGGAAGAAAATAATGGTGAAATGTTGTTGTTTGGGGTTTTAACTAACAAGCAATTTAACGAAACTCAACCTCCTTGTCCCCTACCTTAGTTTTGATGCAAAACATGGAAAACACACTATGTTGGGAAAATGCACCAGACGCAATTCCTGACTTTTCTTGGGATTTGAGTTCTACTCTTTCACTATCGCTTTTGGTTACTGCAGAGGCTAGGGTAACCTACAATCCTATTCCTATGTGTGATTACAATCCTAGAAAATATCTACCAACTCATTTGCATTATGGGTCAGAGGGCATATGCCTAGGACCATGTTTTATGTGCTTATTCCTAAGTCACATTCCATATTGGTTTCCTATTATTTTACCTAACTCACCTTTCCCAAGGTTGGGCTTTGGTGTATAAATCAAGTTCCCACCGGCCGAATGAAAAAAAGACGTAAAGAGAAGTTTTTAGAAATCAACCCAAAAAAGTGCCAGGCGCAATCTGGCCAAAATCCCAAGCGTGTTGAAAATCAAATCATTTGACTAAGGCATTCCACAAGGAGGTTGATAACTAATTTAGAACATAATTAAATGAAAGTAAATGCACGAAAACATAAAGAAAGTATTTTTCATTGAATTTAAATGAATAAAATAAGTCGTACAAGGAGTTCTAGCTTAACCCTCTTCTCTCTCGAGCGTGAGGGGAGTTGAAACTCGCTAAAGAACTTTAAAATAACAGAATGAACAAATAACGGAAGTAAGAAACTGAATTAAAAGCAATACGAAAGGTAAAAGCGTGAAAAACGAAGAAATGAACAACTAGAACATGAACATAAACCCTAAAAACGTGTTCTACAACTAGAGAGCATCTAAAAGAAGATGAAATGAAGCTTGGAAGGGATGATTTGCTGAGGGATGGATGACTTCCTTTTATAGCACCATAGGTTGGTTGAAACTCCCCTCCATTTTAGGTGGAAAATGGTTGAGATTCACCTAACCACCTCATTTGGACTTGGACTCACGGTTTTGAGCATGTGGGAAATGTCCTTCTTGCCCTTCATTAATCAATACGTGCGTTTTGACAAATTGCCCTCCAAAAATGCGCCAGGCGCAATTCTGCAAAAGACAGAATTCTGTTATTTTCTTTCAACTTTGACCGCATTTATCTCATATTTTTCCTAAAGTACCATAGTTTGACTTTTATGCATAAATAATCTATGTATGTTCTACTTTAAGAATATGTGGTCCTTTTTGGCAAATAATAATGGGAAATGGGTCAAAAGCGTAGTCAAATAGGACTACCGACACATGTTTCTGAGTAAAAAGTCAACCCTAACAATTGGTCACCTAAAAATAAAGACAAAGTCTGCGAAAACAGATTGTTGGTTCGGGAGTCGACTGAGCGTAGGGAAGGTGTTAGCACCCTACGACACTCATTCGAAAACGGTACCACATTTTGTTTACATGAGTGTTGACACTCAAACATTACACCAATGTGCCACCACTTTGAGATATAAGCTATGATCCTTTTTCAAATACAAATTTTGTATTTTTGAATTTGTTTTAAAAAAATTTTAAACGAAATCTTTTATTTAAAATAATTATTTAGTAAAAACAATGATAAAATGAAGCATGCGAAGACTCGAAACCAAATATCTTACCACTATGCCAACATCCTAAGATGTAAACATTATATTCTTTTACACAAACAAAAGTTTTAATTTATTTTGTTAAATTAAAAAAAAATCACTTTTTTATTTATCTTGGCATTAACGAGATTATTTAAAAGAAAAAACTTTTATTTCAAAATAAAGTCAAATTTACTTTAAACAAAATTTATTTCCTAAAAAACTGATTTTTTCTTTTGTTAAGATTCATTTCTAAAGAATAACTGTTTAAAAGAAAAATATATATATATTCTAAAACAACTTTCCAAAAGATTTTCTTTAAATACTCTCTTTTTAAAAATCAGGTTAAAAAAAAGCTGCAGATTTGACACAAAAAAAAAAGAGAGTAAACCTTGTTAAAAAGTTTTCTTTTAAAGAAAAACTAACTTTTAAATTTTGAATTAAAAGAATCCAATTTATTTTTTAAACAAGATTTATTTCATAAAAACTCTTTTTTTTTAACTTATTTTAACCAAAATTTTAAAATAAAATCTGTTATTTAAACAAAATTAGAGAAAGGAAAACCTTTTTATTTTTAAAATATCAAAATCTTTATTTTCTTTTCAAAACTTATTTAAAATTTCTTTTATCTTTTTTTAAAAAAATTGTTTTCTTATTAAAAAAAAGTTATTTCCAACATATTTACTCACTTAAAGCGTATTACCGGGAGGGAGGTCGTCGGAGTGCGTGGGTCGCCGGAGGTCGTTGGAGTTTGTGATTGGAGGTCCTACCATTCGCTTATGTCGTCAGAGGTCGTGGGTATAAAGGAGAAAGGTGGTGGGA